AGTGCTGCTGGTCTTGCTTCACTGCACTGGCTTAGTATCAGATTTGGGATTGAATTTAACTTCATGCTTTCTCAGGCTCCACAAAGAGTCTCAGGCTTTCAGCCTATGACCTGCTAGAAGCTAACTTTGGAATAACTGGGCTTTAGTTGTGCTGGAACCTCTGTTAATGAATCAGTTTGACTCATCAGCATTTATTTTATTAAATGCTTCATTAATGCTTAAATATTAAAGTCAGCATATGGAGTATTTGAGCCAGCCAGTGGAGTGTCATATCGGTCGAGTGGGCTCAGCTATCTGGACCAGCTGATAGCACTGCTGCTCAAACTCCTTCCTAAAAAAACTTTAGGCTGTTTATTTGAATGCACTCCTCATAAATGCATGTGGCTAATTGGATTTGCCACTTGAAGGCCTCAGAAAAAAACACTTACAATGTGATTTTAAAAAACAACAACTTTACATTGGGCTACTCTCCTTGAATTTAAAAACAAACAAACAAACAAAACATTAGGTAAAAGCAGAAAAAAGCTGAAAATCAGGTGTTTTTGACATTCTCTTTCACTTTTCTCACAGTAGATCAGAGACACTGGCCACAAAGTTGCACAGCTCCATACCTCCATCTGCTGGCCACATGCAGCTCCACTAATGGCTGTGGGGATTAAGAGATTTATGAACGTCAGGTCAAAATAGATTTCAAACATTTCCAAAGTATTTCATTGGTCAAACTGAAGAGTGACTTATTGTGACGGATTTAGCTCAAAATATTTAACTTATTTGTGTTGCCTGTATCAAAGACATCAAACTAAGTTAGGCTGTTTCCACTTCAGTAAATCTGAGAAACAGTTGCTATTGCTTGCAAAGAAAACATAGCTTCAATAAATGAGGGCAAATGATGTTTTATTGAGTTGGGCCAAGTTTCAGTCAGCAGAGCCACACCTCCTACAGGTGCACTCACTTACTCTGATTGCCTCTCCCTGTATTCCAGCTGGAAATTGTATGGCTTCCTGATGACCAGCGACATATAAAAACACACAACTTCTCTCTGCTTAACATTTTCTCATGTCCTTGCAAATCTAGTCTTTTCTTGTGAAACAGCTAAAATGGCGCTCAATGGTAAAACTGCAGTAGTGACCGGAGCTGCGATGGGAATAGGAAGATCAATAGCTGAACTTCTTCTGCAAAATGGTGCCAAGGTAGTGTTTGAGATCAGATATTCTTGTGCTTCA